TAGTCCTTTTAGGATATTCATCTCACCTCTGTGCTGCAGCCCTCAGAAAACTAGAATTTCAAAGAACATATTTATGTGGTTGGTGCCAGCAAGGCCTAGAGCATTTCGCTCAGGAAATACCATTGTCTGCTCCTGACCCAGTAGGGAAAAGGAACTGAGAGTACCTACAGACCAGTTTGTTCTCCTTTCATGCCAGGACTTTTCTGGAATGGAAGTGTTACCTCAGAATTACCCTTTTTTGCCCCAGACCTTTTCAATTTTCTTTTTTTTCCCTCTGTCCCTGGGATAAGTCAGGGAGAAGCTTCCTTAAAGAATCCTGATTCCAATACTCGCTTGCCATGTGATTGCGATTGTGGACCAGTTACTTACAAGATCTATCTCATGGGTTGTTGTAGCTGTATGTGTTGTAGCTCTATGGGTTGTATAGCTATATGCATAGCCTTTAGAACAGCACATGGCACGTAGCGGGTGATCCACAAATGTTAGCTGGTGTTATTATAATCAAAATAATAATCACATTTTATTATTATATAGAATCAAAAGGTTAATTGCAGCCTTCTTGGAGTCCAAATCAAATGTTGTGAGGTTCTGCATAATCTTTATTTTTGGTATCTTCCTAGAGAAATCAGGTGATATAGAAGCTCATTGGTTCCTGATTGATAGTAATGCCACTTATCAGTTCTAGTGCGTGCAAAGAGAAATCGGTCTAGTTCATCTATCAAATCATGGCAGCTGTGAAGTGGAAAGAAACCAGTATTTAGCCCAGATTCTCCACCAGCTATAGCTCTTTCTTTCTCCTTGCCTTTCCAGCCATGCTTCCAGGTGCTTGCAGGTGCTATCCCCACTTCTTCCTGCCTACTCGCCTGCTGGACAGCTGCCCTCCGGTCCGGCGTCTACCCTCACTCTGCCACCGAAGCTGGCTTCCCAAAGGTGGCTGACAACTTCCTTGTTTCTCTGCCTGCTGACCACTTCTGCCTTCCAGAAAAAGTTTCTTTGCAGCTTCCGTGATACCACATTTGTCCTCTGTAGGCATTTTTTTTTCTACCTTCCTGGCAACTGCTCATTTCCTGTTTTGTTTTTTGTTTTACTTATTCTTTTCCTCCAACTTTACATGTTGATGTTTTTCAGATAATATAATAAGCCATGTTGTCTTCTCACGACACACCTCTTCCAGGAGAATTTCATCCATTTCCAAGGCTCAACCACTAGCTAGATGGACGTCTAGCCCAGCTCCCTCTCCTGAGCCTTCAGACTCTCATACTGCCTTCTTACTGGGCATTGCCACCTAAATGTCACAATGGCAATTCAAACCCAGCTTGTCCTAAAGTGAATAACTGGTCAAATTATTTCTGAGACACAAATGTAAATTAATAGAGAAATAAATAATAGCATGGGGAAATACAAAGTAATGCTCAGTTTTAAAAATAAAATTTTTATTTTTAAATAAAATACGGCATCTTCCTGTATGCTGTATCTCAATGACTGGCACTTCAATTGGCATACTATTAGAGAAACATCTTGGCATCCTATTTCTGCCTTTCTCTCACCTCCTCTACATCTACCAACTTTACTTCCAAAATACCTCTGGGACCAGACATCTTTTGTCTTTCCTTGTTGCTTCTATCCTGCTTTGGGCCACCATCATCTTTCTACTGATTGATGACTATAGCCTCCTAAGTGGCCTTTTGGCCTTCAGTCTTGATTCATGCAAATTATTCTCCAAGTTGCCAGAATTATATTTTGGAAGTAGAAAACTGACCCTGATGTTTTCCTGCTTAAAACACATTAGTGATTCCCAACATTTTTGAGGATAAATTTGAAATGTTCTGAGTTTTCGAGGACCTCTATGATTCGTTCTTTGCCTATTCTCTGGCCTCATTTCCTGCCTTCCCCCACTCCCCTGCAGTATTCCACATGCGAGTCCTACTGAGCTTTCATTTCCCAGAATCAGCCCACACGCAGTTGTCTGCAACCCTTGAGGGCTCAGGGACAGTTGCTTCTGCAAGGAAGATTCCTCTCCTATTTAGGTCTGGGCTGAGTCCTCTTCCTGGAGGGACCTTGAACAGCTGAACTCATAGCTCTGTCTTCTTCCTGGTGATTTACTTAGGGCTTGGGCTTGGGAGTCAGGCCATGGGAGTCTGAATTCCAGCTCTTCCACCTGCAAGGTATTATTTAACTTCAGTGAGCCTCAGTTTCCTCATCTGCAAAGTGGGTCTAAAACCAGAATTTATTCTATAGTTTTGAGTGAAGAGTAAATGAGATGAGGCATATGGATTGCTCAGCACAGTGCCGAGTAATGGTTGCACTGGTTACCCATCTGTTCCCATCTTCTCACCGTGAATTCCATAAGAAAAGGGTCAGTCTTTTGCCTTGTTGCATACCTGACACCTCAAACTCTGTTTGTCCAGCACTTTTTGAAGAAAGAATGAAGGCCACTGCCTGTTTTGGTTTTCTAGGTAGGTCATAGAGGTAGAAGGTGTCATTAGTGTCTAACGTAAAGGAGAAAGGAAGGGAAGCTGAAGGTTAGAAATTAATTGCAAGAGTGTGTTCCTTAGGCATTTTTTCTTATTTAAGACTGTTTAAAAAGTAATATATTCCTATTCTAGGAAATTTAAAAAATACGTAACTTACAAAGAATGTATCGAGCACCTACAGCTTTACCATCTAAAAATTCACCATTAATATTTTATCATTCCTTATAGCTTTTCATCAATTCATGTCTCTTTATTGAAATAGGGAACAAAAGGCATTTAACTAATTATTTGTCTAGTTAATTATTTAAAATCCTGTTTTATTTGAATGTAAACTGTATGAGGGCAGGGATCATGCACACCACTAAATGTCCAATATCTGCTATAATGCAAGTTGCAGCTCAATAAAAAGATATTGACTAAATTAATACATATATTTAATTTGGTATCCTCATTATTTTTAAAATTTGAACATTACCTTGTATTTCCCCATGCCATTATTTATTTCTCTATTAATTCACATTTGTGTCTCAGAAATAATTTAACCATTTATTGTTGGACACTTAGGGTATGTTAGTTCTTTGTTATCTTAATTAATACTGTGACAGACATTCTTGTGCATAGTTTTAGGCCTATATATTAGATTACTTCCTTAAGCTCCTTTCCTAGAAGAGGAGTCTTGTTACAAGTCTTCTCTCACAAATTTTCTAAAATTCTCTGTTCTATTTGCCTCATATTGTCTGTAAAAAACCCACTGTTTTGTGACTTTTTCTTTCTCCCTAATGAACTTGGGATAAATAACACCCAAAGCCCAAGGCTCAGCCTTACTCATCCTCCTGCTCTCCATGCTGGGAGGAAATGCTCTTGTTCCTTCCCTGGGAACCACCATCAATTACACCTTTGTCTTATTAAATACATCAGGTTATAGAGGTGGAACAAAAACAGATCATTATTGTTTATTCTTCCTCTCTCTCCTCCTTCTTCTCTTCTCCCCCGTCTCCTCCCCCCCGGTCCTCCCCTCTTCCTTCCCTCTTCCTCCCTCCTGTTCTTCCTCATTCTCCTCCTTCTCGCACCTTTTTAATAAAAAAGAGGAACAAAACTTTTTGAAAAAAATATACTTATTATACATTTTGGGTAATTTAGGAAGAAATATAATGAAAGGAAGGGAAAGAGAGAAAGGGGGCAGAGAGAAAAAGAAAGCAAGCTAGAAAAAGAAAGAGAAGCAGAGAATCAAATGAAAGAGACCAGAAACAACATTTTAGAGTAGGGAGAATCATTAGAAAATGAAAGAGGAGAAAACAGAAAAAAAAATCTTAGTCTAGCAAAATATGTATGTGGAGCCATTCTTATTCATCGCTTTGGTCAACTTTTCTGACAGCCTTTCAGAGATTTGAGAAAGCTATTATAATTCTATACATTTTATTTTATTTTTATTTTTGACTTTTTTACCAGGGTAAGTTTATTTATTTATTTTTAAATTTTACCTTAACTTCTGGGATACATGTGCAGAATGTGCAGGTTTGTTACATAGGTGTACATGTGCCATGGTGGTTTGCTGCACCTATCAACCCATCATCTAGGTTTTAAGCCCCACATGCATTAGATATTGTCCAAATGTTCTCCCTCCCCTTTCCCCCAACACTACGACAGGCCCTAGTGTGTGATGTTCCCCTCCCTGTATCTATGTGTTCTCATTGTTCAGCTCCCACTTATGAGTGAGAGCATGCAGTGTTTGTTTTTCTGTTCCAATGTTAGTTTGCTCAGAATGATGGCTTCCAGCTTCATCCATGTCCTGCAAAGGACATGAACTTATTCTTTTTCATGGCTGCACAGTATTCCAGGGTATATATGTGCCTATTTATTTATTTTTTGAGACAGAGTCTCATTCTGTCACCTCGGCTGGAGTGCAGTGATACCATCTCAGCTCACTGCAACCTCTGCCTCCCGGGTTCAAGCGATTCTCTTGCCTCAGCCTCCTGAGTAGCTGGGACAACAGGTACGCGCCACTACTCCTGGCTAATTTTTGTAATTTTATTAGAGACGGGGTTTAACCATGTTGGTCAGGCTGGTCTCTAACTCCTGACCACAAGTGATCCACTCATCTCTGCCTCCCAAAGTGCTGGGATTACAGGTGTGGGCCACTGCGCCTAGCCTCAGGGTGTTTACCTGCTTACTTCTATTATTCCTGCGGGGACATCATTTTATCCTCGTTACCCTATTTAGAATAATGTTCAGTTTGTCAGTATTCCTGCTAAATTGTGGGGCTCTGCGTTGGACAGGGAACTCCAGAGTGTTCCTTGTATGAGCTGAAGAACAGAGCACACAGTAGGACTGTCACTTCCTATGCTTAGCACGGGAACTTCTCTTTACTGTCTTTTGCTCTCTCCCTCTCAAACATTTACAGCAGTGGTTCTAAAGCTTCTTGGTCTTAGACCTCTTTACTCTCTAAAAAGATGATTGAGAGCTACACACAGATTTCATTTATGTAGATTCCATCTAGTAATATTTACCGCATAAGAAGCTAAAACATAAAATTTAAAATATTGCTTTAATTCATTTAAAAGTAACAAAAATAAAACCTGACATGGGAACATAATTAACATCTCCTGATGAAAAATTTTCAAAGACGAAAAATAATATTCAGAAAATGGCATTATTTTACATTTGCTTATTTCTTCAACATCTGGCTTAATAGAAGTTAGCCTGATTCTCATCTGATTCTGCATTTAATCTATTGCAATGAGATCTTTTGTTAAAGTATGTAAATAACATCTGGCCTCACTCAGAGGCATAGCTGGAAAAAGAGGGACTATTTTAATGGCCATCTCAAATAGCAATGGATATTCTTCTTTGATATTACATGAAACGTTGTGGCAGTTTCTGAAAGGTTAGTTGCAATGCAAAATCTGGAACCTTATCAAGGAACTTTTCCTTAGTTGATTATTTATAATTCATTGGTCCAACTTACACTTTAAAAGCATCTTTTACCCTGGCATGATTTTGTAACATCGTACATTAATCATTGGAAAAATATGAGTTAGGCAGGTCTTCCAAATGTTGATATATTTCATTCTACAATACAAAAAAATCACATTAATTAATATTACTATAAATCTTATTTACAATATCTTCAATTATTGGGAAGCTGACAAGTTTGCGGTGGCAGATATAAGCTTTCTAAAATTTACTTGAAAGCTTGAATTTTGTCATTGGCAACAAATATCAGTAGTGATTTTTCTTGAAGCAACAGGCTTACTTCATTCATTTCTGTGGAAATATCTGCCACGTGCCCACATCTGAATAATCATAATTTGTCTGTTAGTCATTCTTTCAAGTAAAAATGGGGTCAAAATTTAATAAAAATAACAATATTTACTGCTTAATAAAAGACATTGTTAAATGAAATTGGCTCCCCCCCACCCCCACCGGGCATGCATCAGGGTAAAGAATACAATGACCACTTGCACAGTTGGGCACATTTGCTTTTGCACCATCAGTGCAAATGTCAACGCAGTGGAAGAAGGCCAAGTAGTATGACTCTGAAAATAATTTTGGCATTGTGGACCTCTTGAAAGGATGTGGAGGACTGCCAAAGGTCTGTGGACCACACCTCGACTAAGTTGCCCGTGTTCAGGATGCCTACGGGTCACATTAGTTATATTCAGCCTCCCACTGATCCTATTAGTGTAACAGACTGTGAATCTTCAAAGAAATAATAGCAGTAGAAATGCATCTTAGGTGCTGTGCCAGGTGCATTTCATACATTATCTCACAGCAACGCTTGAGGTAGATTCTGTTTTATCCCCACTTTCAAATGAGAAAACTGTAGATCAGAGAGGGGAGTTAACATGCCTAAGATCACACAGCTGGTGAGAGTAGAGCCAGTGGGAAACTCCCAGCAGTGCGACTCCAGAGCCCATACTGTGAGCTGCTCTGTTATTGCTGGAGAGGCTACCAGGGTGGGTGAAGTGAAGAGATAGCATGCCGGAGAGGTAGGAGGTCAAAGCAGTGGCTGAGAATCTTGGACTCAAGTGTCTAAATAGCAAATCAAAGTTTTCCCCAGAACCTCTTCTCATCTGATTCCCATAAAGTCTTTTGAGATGAACAGGGTTCTTTTTATTTCCATTTTCTAAGCAAGGAAAGTGATGGTGCTCAGCAGGCAAGCATCCCCTTGTAGCCTCAGTCATATGCTGGGAGAACACCACCTTCTCACCCAATGCCAAGGAGTCAGGGCCCTTCTTGGGCAGCTTTTCTCCCTTGGGACATCACATTGTCACATGCCATGGAGGGGAACTTGGCAAAACAGGCAGTGGTGTCAAAAGAGAGAGGGATGGTGACCCAAAGTCCAGGCACTTGTCTGACCAGCAGTGAGAGTCCTCCTAGGTGTCTATGACTGAGACTCAGAGCTGTTCTGCATTCTGGGGTTCAATTCCACATTAAGCCAGGAACAGTATCTTTGCAAACAGAAAAGGAAGTATAGAGGATGAAGAGGACACGTCACGAAAATACAATGAAGCCTTGGAGGCCTCAGACAACGAAGTTTGAAGGAACAGAGAAAAAGGAGCTCAAATGCTGCCTGGATTTCTTTCGCAATGGAGGGAGAAATTGAGGCCTGCAGAGGGAAAGGAACGTGCCAAAAGTCATGCAGCCCATAAAGTAAAAATGCCAGATGCCATCCTGGCCCCAGGACTTCTTGCTTGCTGCACTGTACTCTCGGAAAAGAGACTATATTTAGATATATCAAAGCCAGCTTGCTTGGAGTCTCCCTTCTGATATCTCAGAGCAAACAGAGGCAACTGACAGCGGGGTTGCTATGCTAGAAGCTCAAGCTCTGGAGACTCGTTCCCTTTCTATGAAATTCTTATGAATAGGAGCTGAGAACCAGGATGGAATTTCTTTGGTTTCTTGGGACCTTTCCCCAGAGTTTGTAATCATGTTCCTCCTACATACCACTCTGGTGTTTAAATTCCCAGTGGGTTATATATTCAGTTCAATCTGAGATTTTTTCTCTTTCAATGAGCCAACTTTGCCTTTGTTCTTTTGTTTATATTCCCTGGACAATTGACAGTTCCTGAAAGTGGCAGGCCTGCTGGATACGGAAGAGGGGAAATTTCAGGACAGTTCCTGAATATTCAGGCCTTCAAAGCCCCATCCAAGGCCAGCACAGGGCCTCCAGAATAAAGGGGAGATCCTTCACAGCTTAGAATATGTTGCAGAAGAGAGCCCCCGTTCTCAGCTCAGATCCCCACATGATCTTCCCTGCCTTCCCTGGGCAGGGAAGGGGAAGTTTTTAGTATAGAGGGGAAATTTTTCAGTAATAAGGGAACTATCGTCTGCTCCTTCATTTTCTTTCCTCTTCAACAGGTTGAGTTCTGAATGTTTACAATTAGAAATGAAGTATTTAATTTCAGGTTCTGTTCACCAGGACAAAGGAGAATATTATACTGACTGACTGTAGGACTTTCTTTTTTTTTTTTTTTTTTTTTTTGCAGGGAGAGGTTCACAAATATCTATGGAGAATCTGCTATGTTTAAAGCCCTGTTTTAAGAGCTGAGGATTCAGCAGTTGAAGAAAACAAGTGTTCTGCTCTAGTGGTGCTGACATTCCCTGGAGGGAGTCAGACAACATATGATGGCCTGTAGGGCAGTGTGAAAGGCAGACACAGGTGAGGGACTAGAGAGTGACAGAGGTGACATTTTATACTGGATAGAGACAGGCATTGAATTAGGGTGAGGGTTAGGAGTAGAGACCTGAGGAGGTGATATTTGAATAGAGACCTGAATGAAGCTCGAGAATGTGTTTTGAAGCATGTGGGGAAGACTCCTCTGCTTGTCAGATTGGTCACTCCTAAAACGGGGTGGGGCCTGCCTTGCAACCTCAGTTCACACAGAGCCATCTGCTTCCAGCTGCACATCCCCTCAAGGTTCTTGAAGACCATCCCTGGGTTCCACCTGAACCTTCTTATCCCAGAAAATCTGTTATTCCAGCCTAAAGTTACCTTTCAGAATGCGTTACCCCAAACAAAACAAAGCAAAAAAAAAAAACAAAAAACAAACAAACAAAAAAAACCCAGCCCTCCTAGAATCTGGGGTCAGTTGACTAGATCTTTGATTTTTCTTCTTCTTCTGCCATTCTTGATACTTTTGAGATTCTGGAGCTTTAGCGATAGATGTACGCTCTGAAGTCAGATGACCCAACCCCCTCATTTTACAAATGGGGAAAGTGAAGCCCAGACATAGGAAGGGCCCTGTTTTTGGCTGGTTACAGAGTTAGTTACAAAAATGACAGAGTGGGGACACATCCACAGGTGTCCTACTGATCTCATGCTCTTTTTCTTTCCAGCCTCCAGCACCCCAAATTCCACCTTTAATCCACATCTACTTTATATGCTTGGAGAATAACAACAATAGCTCATGTTTCCACAGAACTTGGGTTTCCTCTTGCAATGTTGTTCTGTTCTTCTCTGAGGATGTATTCTGAGAAGAGAAACTCTCTGTAGGTTTCTTTTTTTCTCTTTTAAAAGAAATATTATCTTTTGTTTTAGTCTAGGCTTTGTACTAAAGGCTTTATACCCAGTATTTCATTTAACTCTCAAAACCCCTTTGTGAGACATTATAATCATTTTCAAAGACTGGGAAGCTCCAGTTCAGAGAGGCTGAGAAATTTACCAAAGGCTACACAGTCAGAGAATGGTGGAGCTGGGATAAGAACTCAGGACTTGCAGACTCCCCAACTATGCTGGTCTGTTCTCCCTGCCTAGCATCTGTCACCAGCCAAGGTATAGTGCTCTTATTGGGACATCTGTCTCTTCATACTCATGGAGCTTCTCTTTCTTTGCCTATTTTGGTTACCTTTCTCCACCACCATATCATAGCAGTTAGTCATGCCAGGAGCCTACCATCCCCTAGCCTTTCTCTGGGAGGTTCCCGACCCACAGTTTGGGATGCTTAGCATCACCTGACTTTGGCATCCTGGCTACAGCTGATGCAATACAGAATAGCTTGACCCAAAGCCTACTAGCTATGGACTGGCCAGCAGCCTCTGAGGTGTTCATGCTTTGTCCACAGGAACACTGTGCTCTGACAGGTGACTGGTTGAACCAATCAGACCTTTTCTCTTGGAGAGCAAGAGAAAAGGGTAAGGCATAAGAATAACGCTCATGATCAGAAGAGGCAGAAACACAGAAGTCCAATGCTTCTGGACAGATGAGACAAGAGTGAAAAACATTCCAATGGTGGAACAATTTTGTGGACTCCATGGGGTTTGATTCTGCAGTTCAGATGATTTCTGCAGCTCAGATGGTTTCCTTACTTCTCTGCGCATTTTAAAAATAAACTTCTAGTAAGTGAGTAACATGAGTGTGTCTATGTCCATGCTCCCCAGAAAAGGCAAATCAGAACTCTTCAGTCTGTTCCCCTTCAGTGCAGCAATTGGTTCAGCTGATCACCCACTAGCAGTGAGTCTCCATATTGGGCAGAATTTCTACAGCCATTGGCACCTGGCTAAACCTGAGATCAGTTTCCCCAAGTGTGGCTAAGAAACCATCTGGGCAGATTCCTGAGGCCCACTTCAGACTTGATGGGGCAGAAGTTCTGTGGGTGGATCCTGAGACATCTTACCCAAACTCCCCAGATGATTTTATTCCCAAGTGATTTCTATAGATCTTAAAGTTTGAAAACAATGGCCATGGAGAGCTGTTTGTAGGTCAGATACTCACTCTGGTCCTACCAAATGTGATAAGCATGCATGATCTGGAGTGAAGATCCTGCATTCTGTTTGGCCTAAGGCCTTGTCTGTGAATCCTCCTTTTTGTGGGATGGAGGTAAAGGAGCATCAGACCCCATTATCCAACACCTGCTGCTATGTTTTAGGAACTGGTCACACCTGAAATGGCAAAATGCTACCCATGAACTGAACCTGCAGATTGCAAAAGTATTGCTTTTTAAAAAAATCTTGAATTCTTTGCTATCTCTTATAATGACCCCAAGATTTCACACACACAGAAATCTGATTTCCATCTTTTCTTGAAAATTTGCGATATTTAGTAGCACTGGGCCTTCATTCTGTTCTGGCAACGAACTTTTGCTGAATACAGATGCTATTTCAGATGGCACATAAGTGTCCCATTTATTCAGGGTGCCTCCTCTCCGGATAGTGTCTCCAAATTTGAGGCTGTCAGTGGTTCAAGAAAAATGAGAGTGATCACATTTTTTTGAGGATGTGAAGAATATTCTTTCATATTTAATAGATCAATTTTGTAACCGTCTTGAGAAAAATGTGACTCAAGATGGTCATATCACTCTGAAGATGCCTGATGCCTAATTCTAAAGACATTTGAGTTGTGGTGCTTGACACTGATTCCCACATCCCTCCATGAAGCTGTGGCTGGAAGGAAAGAGTCCACCACAAAACCAGAGAATATCAGAATCTGATTGTGGAGTGCACCATTTTTCTTATACAGACGGAGAGACTTTGGTTCAGAAAGAGAAGAGCATTCCTGATGTCACCCAGGACACGGGGCATAGGCAGAGTGAAAGCCGAGTCCTCGTTCTCGAGCTGGGCTCTTCTTCATCTATAACTCTCACTGTTTGCTTCCAAGTATCTTTACACTTGACCACATCATTTTTTGGGGAGGTGTTCATTATATCACAAGTACAGTTCTAACTAAAGTGTCTTACAAATATTATTTGATTTAATAGTTATCCTTATTTGACAAATGAGAAAATTGAGGTTTACAAAGTACTTTGCTTATTTGTGGAAGAAAAGAATTTGCATTCAGGTCTGGGAACAGTCAAAGCCTGAGGGCTTTCCCATGGTGCTGTGTAAATCAACTCACTTAGCAGCCTCGGAGGTCACTGCCATGCTGTTTCCATTTTATTATGGAGAAGGCAAGAAGGTAGGTAGCTTGTCTGGGATCACATAACCAGTAATTGATACAGTCAGGACTAAAATATAGGGCTAGCTCCAGGCTGGCACTTGTAACTGTGGCCACACTTGCTACTCTGCTGTACCTCATGTAACCACGGGAAATCTTCTAACAATTCATTTCCATTGCTTTGTATGGAATCACCCTGTACAACTTAGTATCAATATATACATTTGGGTGTGTAGAGGGCGTGGGTCTATTTTGTGGCACACTGAGTGTACCCTTAGAGTTTTGTGATAGTGCAGCATTTTGGGCCAACACATTGAGCAGCAGCCTAGACGTTCAGGTGAGGTGATGCTTGCAAATGGAGGATCTGCATCTACAGACAAGAAGGGCCTTCTCCAGTGGCACACGGTGAGTGCCAATTGTCAAACGGTTAGAGCCAACACTCCGTAGAGCCAAAACTAGAACACAGGGTCCTGACCTTTGTTTTTTCTGCACGATTCTTTCTCTTTCCAATATACAAAGCTACCTACCTCCTATTCAAATGTTATCAGTAAAATACCATGAAATGCTGTGATTCCCTTCTGCCATCTTCATTTCACATTGTTAAAGATGAGAGTGGTGAATTCTCCTCATTCAGAGCCCCAACACCTCAGAAAGTGAGGACTCTATCAGTGGTTTTTACAGCATGCTCCAAAGAATCTAAAGTTTTCTGTTAGGCATTTCTGAGGTTTTGAAAATAACAAAGGCTTACCATCAAAAATAAAGATTCAAATCAACCAAAGAACATGTTAATCACTCAGTTACGAAACATATTTTATATATTGGGTTTAGTGTAATATATCATTTTAAAGAAAGATATCTGTTGCTAAAAATATATTGAAAACCTCTTTTTGTAAATGTCATTTGTCACAGAGTCACAGGATACATCTACTCAGAGGTAGAAAGTAAACATGGATTCAAAGTCAAATATTCCAGTGAAGTAGAGGAAACCAAATGTTCACTTTGGGCTAACGAGGCACTTTACTGAAAAATAATCTTGTCTTCCCAGCATCCCCACCTCAGTCAGCTGGTACAATGGCAGTGTTTCTTCTGTCCCTGCTGGGCATGCATTGACCTGCCCATCTTTGCAGTGCAGGCCCTGGAATAGCAGCCATCTTTTGGCAGGAGAGTCTGAGCCTGCTGGCGGCTCTAACACTCAGGCCTGCTTGTAGGATTCTCTACATCTCCACTCTGGGTTCTAGAACTCTGAGGCCTGGCTGCACATGCAGACTCTGAAAACCTGGGGGTAAGGGATCAGGTGGTGCAGAGGGGTGCGGGGAGGTGGTGCTATGAAGGTTTCTGGAAACAGAGCTACGGGTGATATTTCCCTCTTTGTGAGTACAAGAGATTAGAAAGTTCTGTCACACAGGAACGAACTTGAACAAGCAGATGAAGCAGATACGCACTCAGGCCTATTCTCTCCCTCTATCACCCGGCTCAGGTGGGTGGCGCACACACACACACACACACACACACACACACACACACACGTACCTATTCATATTTGGTTTGATTCAGCTGAAATTGTTAGTAAAGTGGTTTAACTAGTCAGGTCAGATAGCCTGCTTCTCATCTCTAGCTAGCTTCAGCACTTCTCTTGTCTTTGTCCACAGCAGGTACATAACTCCAGGCTTCTCCTCGCTGCAGCATACCAGGCTGCCATCAGGTCTGGCCTCTCTGGTCATCTCCCTCGGCCCTTCAGCCCTCCCCAAATGATCTCTTCATGCCAGACTCCACATCCTTGCACACTAGAGCTCTCAGAACCTCAGGCCTGGAGAGCATCGAGTTATCCACTGTATGCCTGTTGTTTGACATGTGGGAGAGGTTGCAGCTTAGTATCTCAGGAGAATGAAGGGGCAGCTCCATTTTCCAGAAGGAAATGGAGGCACCCAGGATCTCTGCATCAAGCTGGAAGCCTGTCTTCAATCAGATTTCACAGATTGCAGCCCATGGGATATACCAGCCCCACATACATGTTGTTCAATCCGTACCCTTTGAATTCCACAATATTATATTATAATTTAAATTTAGACTCAACAGTTTAAAATGGAAAGATTTAACCCTTCAAAGTCCAGATTTCCAACTTCTCTTAATAAATTGCACAGTGTGACAACCTCATCAAAACTCCCAAGTGGAGTAGTTTGCTGAAGATGAATAGGCACGTTCCTTTTAGGTGGAGAATTGGCTTAATTCATTTCTCTTCCCAGTTGGCCTATAAAGGCATTTGTATTTGCAACCTCTGCCTTGAATAAAAATAAGATAATATTAATAATTGTTGATGCATATTGAGTATTTTACTTCTAGTAAATACCATGCATATGTTAATTCTCAATAAAACTCTATGAGGTAGATTTATTATCATTCCTGTTTTATAGGTGAGAAAGCAGGGGCTTGGATGAGTTAAAAGAATTGTCCAAAGTCATACACATAAGAAGAGGAAGAGCTGGGATTAGATTTACCCAATTCCAGAAACTGAGCTGACCCTAAGGCCCAGGTAGGCTCCTTCCATGGAGGTGATTCTTGAAATTCATCCATTCCTTATCTACATTTGGAGTTTCAGTCTTTGTTTCCAACAGTCAGTGAGACTTTGGCACTTTTATGCCTACAGGCATTCACCAAACGGGGAATCTGGGTCACGATAGGATGGGTCTTTGCACCATTCTCCTTTTCGTACCCCCAAGCCCCTCTGATCCTTCTTTTGACCTCTCTGCTCAGGCTGCAGCAGCACCATCCTTCCTTCAGCCAACCATGCAGGCACTTCAACTTTATCTCTGACTCTCCTCTTCCCTGCTGATTGTGTTACATCAACATCTGGTGTTGCACTGAGCCTTGTTTATACTTTCTCCATGTTTTTGGCTTCAGATCTTTGTTTTCTGTCTTCCTTCCACCTCAAAACCACTCTTCAAGACATTGCTGTATTAATCTTCTTAATGCATTGGTCAGCCCACATTGCTTACCTCCTTAAAGACCACCATTGACTTTCCACCACCTGAGGGAGCCAGGCCCCTGCTCTTTGGGATGGCCTTTGAGACCCTTTAGAATACTGGGGAAGCTTCTCCAGGCATAGCTTCTTGTAATTCCTCTTTGTATTTTCAGTCCGCCAGCCAAATTGAGCTATTCCCAACGTTCCCAGTACTTTCCATGTCTAAACACTTGTCCTTTCTGTCTGGAATGCCCCACTGCTAAGCCTTCCTTGTGGAATTTTACTCCATCTTTTAAGGTCTAGCTCAAATGCCGCATCCAGAAAAGCTTCCCTGAACGAAATGTTCCCCATCTACATCACCCTCATCCTTGTTCCCTGGACAGAGAGGCAAACGCTCACTATTTGACAACTATTTATGGAATAACTATTATTCACCAGGCACTGTGGAATACTCACTGATGCATTTTTACAACTTTCAGCAAATACTAAGCGCTTACTATGTGGCAGACACTGGCTTAATATAAGAGGTGCAAAACTCACTACTGTAATATAATATCAGGTGGTAAGTGTAGTGAAAAAAATATGAAGCAGCTGAATCTCATTCACGTGGGGTGATAAGAAATGCATGAGGAATCAACAAGGCCCACCAGGATTCACAGCACTGAGGGATGCCTGCTGCAGTGACAGGCAGGCCTAACTGGCCCCACCTAGGAACAAGAGTTCAGCAATAGCCTCTGGCAATTCTGTGGCTCTTCCTGCACCCTGACCACTTCTTTGATGTTGATTGGCACTGCAGCTTCTGGGTGTCCTTACTGAGCTCTCTTCAAGGGAAATGCAGCCACGAAGAGGATCTGCGTCCGGGGTCCATAGATGCAGGGGTTTCCCATTGGTGCACTCTGCAGGGTGTGTTCGGGAGTGAGCGTCCTTGCTGTTGGAGGAGGAAATGCACAGCCAGACCACTGGGCAGCATGGGTTAATACAGCCAGTCAGGACAGAGGCTGCTGATGAGGGCAAGGGGTTGATCATTCCTGCTACAATGCTCCCCAGAAGCCACTGAAGTCTGTTAGCAGGATTGCAAACTTTAGCTGAGAATAGCTTGGGTGAGTTGGACCTATGGAAATCATAAGCAAACTGGCTGCCTCCCGGGTGCTCCACTCCTTCAAGTCCCTTCCTGTGGAATATCCTCTCCACTCTCCTCGATGATGATGATTGCGATGATGATGATGTGACCTCAAGGCTCAATCACTGAGGCTCTCTGCTAAGTGCTTTACGTGCTTTCTCTCACTTAATGCTCACATACAGTCCTTGAGGTACCGTCATTATCCCTCCTTTGCAGATGAGAAATCCGAGGTGTAGAGAAGCTAAGAATTTTGCACAGAGGCACATCTTGTCCATGAGGGGTTTTAGAATTCAAAACCAATCAGATGCTAGACTCCAGAGCCCCTGTGTGTTTAACTCTATAACAGTAGAGTCTCCTGTGTTGCTGAAATTTTATCTGACCCCAAGGTCATTCAAATGACACCTGTACCATAAAGCTTTCTTTGATTATCTTTTTCATGTCTGTGTATGGTACATATGACTGACCTCAGCAGTGGTTGTCATGCATTCATTCATTCAACATTTATTGCATATTCACTAACTGCTCTTTGGGCACCTCTTTGGACCGGGCTCTAGGATGAATAACTCTGATCCTCCTGCTGGGAAGTTCCCTATCTGGTTACTGCAGGGCAAGATCAAGGCTACTCTGAGATAGGTCTGGTGTGTTCATATTTATGTTAGTTTACGGCAGTAGCTCCTGTCAATTCCAGGGCCTGAGAAAGCTATGGATCTTTTCCCATATCCAGACCATTGAAACCACTAACAATTCAGGTCAGACGTGGAAATTCAGCAAGCTGCAAAATAAGCAGGTGGAGAAGTAGCAGGGAGTTCCACCAGGCAAAGCAGTGCAGGAGGAAGATAGTATGTTCCCCAATTCTGGCCCCTCTCCCCTGCAGCAGTCCTGTGGAACTGAACTTCCGAGTCCTCCCAAGAGATAGGAAGGGATCGGCTGAAGCTGTACTCTATATTATTCTGGTGTTGAAGGGTTTTGCTAAGTGTTTATGAGATCACTTGAAGTAAAACTGCTCTTTCCTCCAGGATATTGCCATCTCAGCACCTCCGAGACTAACCTGCGTGGGACACAGAAGAAGCCAAGATTAGGCCGCACCCTGTCGAATTCCCAGGCTCAGTCTGGGAGAAGCCGTCTCCATTCCCACCCCACCAATGGACTTAGCAGTGTTTCCTTAACCATTTAGGAGATTTTTGAAAAAGAGGGATGGGAGAAAATTTGTTGAAAACAGCTCTAAGCAGGTTTCCAAGAACTTGCAGTCCTTTTGCACAGTCCCTTCTTAAGAAAAATCTGACAGATTCTTACCAATCCCACTGGAGGTAATGGTTCTCAGTTCTCAGCTTTCTCCCTTCCTCCCTCTCTCCCTCCTTTCCTTTTTTCCTTCCTTCCTCTCTTTCTTTCTCTCAGAGTCTCGCTCTGTCACCCAGGCTGGAGTGCAGTGGCACTATCTCAGCCCACTACAACCTCTGCCTCCCAAGTTCAAGTAATTCTCCTGCCTCAGACTCCCTAGTAGCTGGGATTACAGGTGCATGCACTACGCCTGGCTAATTTTTATATTTTTAGTAGAAATGGGTTTTCACCATGTTGGCCAGACTGGTCTTGAACTCCTGACCTCAGGTGATCCACCCACCTCTGCCTCTGAAAGTGCTGGGAATATAAGCATGAGCCCCTGCTCCCGGCAGTTCTCAGCTTTCTAATGGAAGAGATGAACCTTTGAGAATCATAGGAAATATATACATTCTCTCAAAAATACACACACACACACGCACAAACACAACTACAATTAGAATTTCAGAATATTTAAGACCCTTCTGAAGTCTATCCATGAAACCAAAGTTTGGTGTTCCTAAGGTGATCCATATAAACAACAAGATGATTTTTGGTGGTACATGGACAAATGTGGTTTTAAATTTTGATTCCTATTTATTTTAACATGTACTAAAATAATAGTTAACATATCATACCCGTGGGCTTGTAAATGTTTCCACTTGGACTGAACTAAAAAGTTATGCTAGAATTGAAGTCATTTTAATAACGAGCATTAATTAAATGATTAATGGGTCAGGGGAGCTCTAGAAAAGGCTATGCAAAAATGGCTTATGTTTTGGACGCACGGCTCTCATTTGTGGACTCTCTAATCTGATTCAACAATCTTACTTCACAATGAGAAAACTGAGGCCCATAATGTCAGGTGACCCACTTATGAGCTCCCAATAGTCAGAGGCAGACTGAAGGAAAGCCTCCAGGGTACCAGATCCCCAGGCCAGTGTTTCTTTCTATAATTCCATTCATTTTCTTGCTTTCTACCAGTGCAATTTTAACCTCAAAGGGCAAAACAATTGAAACAGTTCATCTGAGTTCATTCCTGTAGCAGAGAGAACCAGCAGTAACTTCATACAGCCAGTTAGATTGCTGTTATTTAACAAGGACTTTTACAAGTATTTTCCTTAGAGTCCTTTCTCTGCTTATATTTATAAACAGAAAAAATTTTTTCAAGATGCTTGTCATTCCTCCCACATTGTTAGAGATCTGCTTGTATATAGTCTCAGGAAATGATTTGATGTTTTCCCCTGGGAGTTTATTCTACTTAGCTAGAATCATAAGAAAGAATCAACTTTGTATGTTATGAGGGCTCTTTCGATTTGGGTTGACATTGTGTGTGCTGCTCTGATTGCCAAGTTGAAATTGAATCTTATATAAATATAAAGACTTGCTTTAACCCTTCCACCTAGATCAGCCCACCCGGGGAGCCCATTGCTTGAATCTGAATGCATCCCTTTCAGAGGGAGACAGTCTAGAAGGAGTGTGACAGGACAGGAGGAGACTACAGCCCTATCAAGGGAGAAGCGGCTGACAGGACTGGTGTTAGCTGGCTTGCAGACTAGAGGAGCCATCCCAAGATCACTGTTTGCAGCTTGTTGAAAAGCTGTCCTGGGGCAGGGTAGGGAAGGCATGCTGTGCTGCATGTCTGCAAAGCCCTGGGCTGCAGACGCCATCTGCTACCTCAGGAGTTGGGGCTGGGAACAGAGGAAGCAGGGGGGCACCTGAGGAACGTCAGGAGGGGAAGGCAGCAGCTCCAGGGAAATGTTGTCAGGTAGGAATGCAGACTAGAACTTTTAAAAATATGAAATCTAAGTTTTTAATGATATCAATAAATTTTAAACACATTTCAATACATTGTATGGCCAAATAAAACACATCTGTGGGTTAGATCCGACCTGCAGACTACCATTTTGTAACTTGTGCTTCTATGGGTCATGAATTATTTTAGTATTTTCAGCTACTGATTCAGTACTTTAAGGCCATGCATGGATTTCCCCTTTCTTATGTGGCAGTTCCTGGGGTGTGGTCCTGCGCGCAGAGTTCAGTGACTTAGTATTTTCACCACTCTTCAGGAGATTGTGTGAGACTTAGACAAGAACTCTGAAGCTCCAAGAGCTGGGGACTCCTTTTGGGGTAAAGGGAGGGTCAGGCAATTCCAGGCAGTGTGGAGAGGTGGCATGATACTTGGGAACATAATTGAGACAGAGGCAGGAGATTCAAGTTTTCACACTACCTTTGCAACTCCCTAGTTGTATGTTCTGGGATAAGTAACTTCTCTGGGTCTGTTTCCTCTCCTATAAAATGAGAGGTGGGATGGGATGGGTTTCTGTGATTTTGTTACAGTCACTCTTCCCCACTCTCAACCCCAACTCTATAGGACTTCCAAGACCCCACATCCAGTATGCCTGTCTGAGATGTGTTTGCAGCAACCCAAAGAACCCATTCTGCAGAGCCAGCTGGGTCATGTTGCCCCCTCCTTGTTACCCTAGGGTTCTTGCTTCTTCAAATGCCATCCTACTTTGTCTACCCATGCAACCCCTACCCAGTCAATCATTCAGCAAGCCTCTCTTGACTCAGGGCAAATCTATTTCCCAATCATATGCACCATTCCATCAGAGTAACTGACTACAGGCACACTATTCATTTATTTGTGTGATCATCAGATTAATGTCTCACTGGGTTAGATTATCCTGATGATCTCTTCTAACCCTGATAATCAGTGATTCTGAGATAGCCAACCAATGAGGGGCAGTGCATAGAGCAGTGGTTCTCAAGCTCTACTTTTATTCCATGCACTTGAAAAAGTACAGCATACATCCAGCACAGATCTACTGGGTTGAGAAACTCACATATATAGAAGTTAAGAGCACAAACCTGGTCTTGACGTTTTCTTCTTCTGCTTTCTAGCTGTGTGACTCTCCATAAGATGCATTGACACCCAGTTTAACCATAGAGTGATGGCTAATTTTTTTTTTCAGATGGAGTTTCACCTCTGTCACTCAGGCTAGAGTGCAGTGGCATAATCTCCGCTCACTGAAACCTCTGCCCCCCAGGTTCAAGCTATTCTCCTACCTCAGTCTCCCAAGTAGCTTGGATTACAGGTGCCCACCACCACACCTGACTAGTTTTTGTACTTTTAGCAGAGACAGGGGTTTGCCATGTTGGCCAGGCTGGTCTCAAACTCCTGACTTCAGGTGATCCGCCTGCCTTAGCCTCCTAAAGTGCTGGGATTACAGGCGTGATCCACTGCACCCTGCCAAGTGATGGTTAATTTTATGTGTCAACTTGACTGGGCTATGGGGTGCCCAGATATTTGGACAGACATTATTCTAAGGTTGTGTGTGGCAGTATTTCTAGATGAGATTAACATTTGAGTTGGGAGACTAAGTAAAGCAGATTGCCCACCCTAATGTGGGTGGTTCCCATCCAATCCACTGAAGACCTGAATAGGAAAAAAAGGCTGACCTTCCTCCCAATGATAGAAAATTCCCATGCTTGACTGTCTTTGAGCTGGAACATTGGTTTCTTTTTACTGTCAGACTTGAACTAAAACATTGGCTCTTCCCATGTCTCAAGCCTGTCAATTTTTGGACTAGAACTATATCATCAGCTTTTCTGGGTCTCCAGCTTGCAAACTGCTGATCTCGGGACTTGTTAGCTTCCATAATCACATAAGCTGATTCTTTGTAATAAGTCTCTTTTAAAACACACACACACACACACACACACACACGCACACGCACACACACACACACACCTTATTGATTTTGTTTCTCTGGAGAACTGCAAGGAATACATATGGGAACAGTAATAGCTGTCCTGCAGGATTCTTGTGGGGAACAATTGAGTTAAAACACTTAGTTACTGTTGGACACATAGCAGGCATGCAGGGATGTAATACATGGAAACCATAAAAATATTTTGAAATCCCAGGCAGAGCATCCTTAAAATATAGATTCAAGCTGGAGTTTTGGATATTTGCTCTCTACGCCAATTAGCACTCCCCTCCTCACCAAAGGACTCAGAGGAAGATGAGACCAAATCAGCTAGAGGTCCTCATACAGTTTGACTGTGTCCTTACTCAAATCTCATCTTGAATTGTCATCTGAATTGTAATCCCCACATGTCAAGGGTGGAGGTGATTGGATCATGGGGGCGGTTTCCCCTATGATGTTTTCATGACAGTGAGTGAGTTCTCACGAGATTTGGTTGTTTGATAAGTGTCTGGTGCTTCCCCCGTTGCTATGTCTTTCTCTCCTGCCACCTTGTGAAAAAAGTGCCTTGCTTCCCCTTTGCCTTCCACCATGATTATACATTTCCCGAGGCCTCCCCAGCCATGCGGAACTGTGAATCAATTAAACCTCTCTTGTTTAAAAATTACCCAGTCTCGGGTATTTCTTTATGGCAGTGTGAAAATGGACTAATACAGGTGTTTTCTTCCTCAGGGGATATTTTGCAATGTCTTAAAACATTTTCAGTTGTCATAACTGGGGGAAGAGAGGTGCTACTGGCAGCTAGTGAGCAGAAATGTGGGAGGCTGTTCAACATCTTAGAACGCACAAGACAGGCCCATGGCAAAGAATTATCTGGTATAAAAGTCAATGGTAGGTCAAACAGTAAGCGATGATATGTATATATCATCTGTATATCCTAAAATCCATATACATACAATCGACTGACAACCAGCACAAAGGCAAAGCCATGGCACAGACTCCAGCCATGAGCCAAGCTGACTCACCCATGGGAGGCTGACTTACCGGAAAGGGAAAGCAAGCATCTCATTTACGCACAACTTTTCAGGAAAGTAAAACTTCAGGGAAGCTGGATGTCCCTGGTGTCCTATACAGCGTGATCATGAAGCATGATATACGTTTGTGCCCACACCTTCTTCCTGCCTAAGCTTTCCAATACTGAACAATTCCTGTCCGGCATATCATATCATAAGCTCTTTAGAAAAGTGAGAGGCCGAGAGGTTGCAGGCAGCAGGGGAAATGGGGTGAGGCTGGGTGTTATGCTGAGCTACCCACTGTCTGGGCAACGTAGGTTTGGCTCACTTTCTCCCTTTTGGCTTTAACTCCTTCATCAGTGAAATGAAAGGGTGGGATGAAATGACCTTGCAATTGTTCTTTTTCGTCAGGTAGTGCCGAATCTTAGCAAGGCAAGCTTGGAATTTCCTCGTGGAGGGTTTTTTCTCTCAGCCACTACGCTTGGCAGAATATCACAGAACTTGGAAACACCAGCTTGGGAATTAAATGATCTGACAAACCTGGTTTGGAAATCCTAGCTCAGCCTCTTACTTATGTAATTCTTGGGAAGTTATTTAAGAGTAAAACTACATGTCTCAATAGGCTGATGTCAGATTTGACAAGATGTCGTTTGAATAGTCTCTGATAAAGAGTAACACTTAATACGTGGAAACTGCTATCATTCTGATGACTATTAGGTGGTGATGGTGGGAGCTGCAATGGTGAACACACAAAAAATAAGATTAAAACTTGGTCTTTACAATAAAAGAATTTACAAATCAAGAAAACCAGGTCAGCGACAAGAGAAGGGCTTAACAGGATCATGGTCGCTGAGATGCAAGACGGGTTTGCATTTAGAAAAGAGAAGTTAATTCCAACTAGAGATACAGCGAAGGCTTTGATTGATGGAGACAGTAGGGTACAGAGTAGGACATTCAGGATACATTAGGAAACCACCTCTCCTAAAATGTTTTCTAGATTCTAAGTGCTCACCTCATTACATTCCTAAGCAACAGTTAAATGGGACAAGCAAGTTCTCTCTGTGGTCCCTGTCCAGCCTAGATGTCTGTGGAACTGTTGAATTATTCAAACACATTTTGTTCCGCCTGTGTTTGGGGAAGAAAGGAATGGGAAAGAAAGAAAACAAGAACACATGAAATGCATACATCCCATGCCCAAAAGGAGTACTGAGTAGCAAGGCGCAAATACACAGATGAAGGAAAAATGAACAGAAAAGAGCAGGAAAATTTCTGTTGCCTCTCCTAACCAGGAATTCAGATGGGGAGTTTAAAGAGTGAATGCCTTCTAATCAGCCCTCTGCTCCGTGAGGCTCACACATACACTGTGTGTGCCCAGGTACCCTGCCCCGGCTGTCAGAGAGCAAAGTTACTTTCATAGGAAGAGAGGGAAAGATAGGAGTGAAGACCAGGAGGCAAGGAAACGAAGCAGGTTCTACACAGCAAAATAGAGACACAGCCCATCCTCCTCATTTAAATGAAACAGACAGCAATGGGTAGGGCAAAATTTCCTGTTCACTCTTGGTGTGAGCAGACCTGGGCTGCTGTCCCAGCTCTGCACGTTACCGACCTGTCGTAGTGTCCCCTACTTCACAGGCTGTAGTGGAGATTAAACAGGAAGCTATCGGTAAAGGCACTATTATGAAGAGCAAAATGGGTCACATAAAACAAAGATACTATTATTGTTGTTGTTTTCACAGATAAGGAAACTGATGTATAGAAGGGAAGGTCTTTGCCCAGGCATTCTTGAACAGACAGCAGAGCTGGAAGAGTCCATCCCCTCAGGCCGAATGGGCCGGTTGCTTTCAGGGATAGGGTGCAGGCAGGCTGGGGCCGCCTGAATGGTCAAAGCCCTCTGTTTCAGCCACCTTCAGCCAAGGGAGCCTGGGCTGGGGCTGATAAACACAGCCAAAGACATATCCGGTATGAATTTCAGCAGCCCCTCCTACTAAGACGCCAAAGCACGCAGGTTTGTTGTGGGAAGCCCTGGGGAGCGAAGAGGAAGAGCTTGGGAGAACATGTGGGAAATTGAGCCAGCCAAGAGAAATGAAAAACGCATTAGCTGATGTGAGGGGAAGAGGATGCAGAGACACAATCCATAACTTGAAATGTTTCCGTAATCTGTGACGGAACGGTGCAAGCAACCTGCTGCAGGACAAGCCCAATTCCAAAGCCCAACCTGTTAAGGCAAAATGCCTCCGGACATCTCTATCAAAACTTTTGCAAGAATAGTGACCGTGACAAAATCATTCCAAAGCACACATACAGAAATTTCCACAGCTTGGCTCCCAGGTTGATCTGCAGAAAGAAAACTATAACCTAGTGACAATTCTTTTTCATGTAGGGTGGCTTCCATACCAGCTGCCTATGATTTGTTGAGCAAAGCACTTGCCCTTATTGAGTCTCTGATTCAAGAAGTCATCTAGAATCAGCAAGGCATCTAGATGGGAAGCATGTGGGAGATCTAGCAAGGCATCTAGATGGGAAGAGTTACGTGGTACTTTCTAGGTTTCAAAATGTGAAGGATGTGGGAGAGGAAGAGAACGGCCCTAACCTTTATTGTGTACAACCCGTTGTCAAGCACTGTCTTACTTGTTTTACAGGTATCACATCCTTGGGCCTTTATGGTTTTTCTTTGAGGAATGTATTATTATTTCTAGTTTAAGTATGGGAAATAGGATGCCCAGAGAGGTTTGAGACTCATTCATCACACAGTCAATAGTCACAAAGTTGAAATTCAAAATTACGTCTATTGCTTTTCAAAGATAATGGTGAATAGCAGTAATGGATGTTCTTGTCCCCTGAAAATGATGTTATAGAACACGCACTTCTTGTTACTGTCATCAGCCTGTCCCACATCCCAGCTCTGGATATTTTAGGAGAAAGATCACCATCTTTGGAGATAAGACACAAAAGATGTGTGCTGAAGCTGGTTCAGACTGCCTCAAAAGAACTGGGCATGTACACCTCTTCTTGACTCCATGTTCAGTGGTGTCACCTCAGTACTTTGAAACTGGCCATGACATCAGTATTCACACCATAAAAATAGACAGACACTACAAGTCAGGGATCCTCCCTCATGGAGAGCTGGCTAACTAGCATATCACTGGATATTGTCTCAGCTCCATCACTGAGAGGAGAAACATTTAGACCTATGTAGGAATTTGACATTGCTGTGGCATCCAAGCACTCTGTAAATGGTCTTGTCTTATTGACCTGGGTTAGACCCGTTGGGGTATTGGCGATGATCAAAATCACCTGGAGTGAGTGCTGATAGCATGTGGGAGACCCAGGCTCCTTTCTTCCAGTCGGATCTGGCCTGCTGTGTTTTTACCAAGTTTCCCGGGTGACTCTGATGCCTACCAAAGCTTGGGAATTCCTAGTCTAATCTACACACTGAGAATAGGAATCCCTGCCTTGACTTTTGTCATGTGGATGCTGAAAGTAAGCATGAACAAATAAACTCAGATCTTGAAAGGGGAGGTGCCAGGTAAGCATGAATCTGAGGCTCCATTTCTTTGCCTGTAAAATAGGGATACCTCTCCCCTTGCCTGGCGGTCCTTGAGAAGGTGATCATGTTGTAATGGTTTTACAAACAGTGAAACTGTACAATGTGTGGCATTGTGATGACAAAAATAGGAAGATGATTTTTCTTTTGGCTCTATTTCCTTGGAGTGCTGGGGACACCCTCCTTTCACCTTTTGCTCCTACATCCTATTTTTGAACCTGGCATCTTTTGGCCTAGGGATTAAATGACCCATGGAGCCAACAAACCTGTGCAACTGCCCTGACTCCAGCATGTTCCAGCACCTCTGCTCCTTGCTTCAGCTCATCTGCCCCCTCCCAGTACCAGCCACTGGCCCCCGGCCCAGGCTGAGGGTATTGCAGTCCCCATTTCCTCTCAAGTTGCTTCTCAAAACCTAGCACTTGGCTTTTTAACATAATGGCTGTCCCACCTCAAGAGGCTACTTGGGTTTAATTTAAAAACATCTCTTTTTCTACTGTGTTTTGGAGTATGGCCAACTCAGCTCTGCCAGTGACCCGTCCTTATGGGTGCAGATGAAAGTCCTTAATTAAGCCTTTGGGGTGGAGGCCAAAGTTCTAGGGTGTACTTGCCATGATGGTGCCAGATGATGTTCCCTCTTTTGGGTCTCCACTTCCACATCTGGTGTTTCCCAGCAGGGAGTGATTGGCATTTTGTGTAAGGTAATTCTTTATTGTCTTGGACATTGCAGGAAGTTTAGTATTCCTGGTTCCCAGCCACTGAGTGCCAGGTAGTGCCAACTTTGTCATTGTGACAACTCCAAATATCCCCACATCTATTTCTAAGTGGCCCATGGGGCAGGTTCTGCTCCAGGACTGAATAATGAAGGCTTCAGTTTTCTCATCTGGTAACTGGACCAGAGAGGTTCCCCAGAACCAGAGAGTCTCAGGAGCAGCATTAAGAACTGCCCTGGGCTGGAAGGAGAGGCTGAGTGTCTGTCCTGCTCTAAAGCAAGGTTCCCCTTAAGTTTATCTAATTTATAACAGTTCAACAAAACAAGTTGTTTGGAGAAAACCTCTTGTGGTTATAAAAAAAGTGTGAAAACCACTGGGCTGGGTCAGAGGTTGCTAGATGACAGCCCAGAGGCCCAACATGTACTCTGCAGACATGTTTTGTTTGGCATGGAGTTTTAAAATCTTTAGAGCCAACATTTTAAAAATCTGGATTTTAGGTTTCTCAAAAAAAAAAAAAAAAAAAAAAAAAGAGGACAGGAAGATTTGGCAACACAGCCCAGATTTCCATAAGGCAAGAGCGGGCAATGGTTGGGCAGCGGCTGCCCACTCGGGCAGGGCCTACCCTGTCCTTTTTTCTTTTACTTCTCTGGCCCCATAGGCATCAGAGTGTATAATGCTTTGAAGGGTAGTTCTCAACCCAGAATACCTGGAGTACCTTTTAAAATTCCAGTGCTGGGGCCAGACTAATTCAATCACAGTCTCTGGGTGGGGGCCCAGCTACAGTATTAGTACCTTTAAAATCTTTCCAGGTGATTTTACTGTGCAAGTAGTCATGAGAACTAATAGACTCTAAATGACCTCTAGTTTGAAAACCTGCCCCAACAAGCCTGGATTCAAAGAGGAGTTCCCATTCCCTCTCCTCATGTCCCTTAGGATTCCCAGTCTCCTTTTTTTCCCCTGAAAATCCCTGATTTTGCCCAAGCTCACAGCCATCAATCCTCTTGCTTAGTTCTCACTAGATGGCATATCCAACTCATCTCCCACTGCATCCAGGGCTTCCTAATTGGATTGAATCAATGTTCTGTTCTTTCCAAGGCCCCAGAGGGTTCAGACCCTCTCCTAGAGACTGTTCCACTCACAGAAAAACTCTGCAAACCCCATAACTTACCAGCTCTCACCAGCCTCTGCCACAGAGGCTAATCCAGGCCCCTTCCTCACATTCTATCTGCAGTGACACCTTCAAGGATCATTTTGTCTGGGACTTCATTTGCATAAATGCCAAAAAGACATCCTGCAAGGTAGGGATTCCCAACCTCAGCCACATTGGCATTTTTTGGCCAGATAACTCTGTTGTGGGAGCTGTGTTGTGCATTGGAGGATGTTTAGCAACACCCCTGGGGTCTACTTCCCTTAGGGGCAAAGTCATACCTAATGAATACCATTGCTTGAAATTCAAAGTTTCATATTCTTTTAAAGGCATGGATGCTATGTGCTATTATTCCAGTTCTTATGCTGCCAACATACCTGTCCACTCCCCATTTCCCTTTAAGGCAAATAGATCTTTCTGATCCCACCCACCTCTAAGGTTCATTACGTCAGTAACAATACATCCATTCATCCAATTGCTCAAAAATCTAGAAGTCATTTTTTATTCCTTTAGTTCCCTCAGTTCATATATGCAAGTGATCAGCATGTCTTACAGGCTCTACTTTCTAAACATATCTCAAACTTCTCTACTTCTTTCCAGTTCCACTTGTTTCAATTTTTGTGTGTGTGTGTGTATGTATGTGTGTGTGTGCGTTTGTGTGTGTATGCATATATATTTGGTCTGGACTATTGCAATAGCCTCATTCTCTCTCCTACAAATCATTTTCCTCACTGCACTCAGAGGTATCTTTAAGAAATGTAGACCAGATCATGTCTCTTAACTGCAGAAAAACCTTCAAAGTCTTCCCACTCTTGGAATGAAACCAAAGCTCCTTACTAGGGCCTATGAGGTTATTCTGGCCCAAGCCAACTCCTCCAGCCACTCCTCATACTAATTTTCTTCTATTTAATTATAGCCAGATCGGCTGCCTGTCCACTCCTTAACTATACCAAGCTCTTTCTTGCCTCTGGGACTTTGCACATCTCATTTTCTCTGCCTATCTTTTTTTTAAACCCTGCTTTCCACAGTTGGTTTCCTCTCAAGATTCAGATTTTGTCTCAGGAGCCACTTCTGTCGTCATCTCCCTCCCCACAAGTTATTCACTGTCCGTTGAACACAGTGAATAAATCCACGACATTATTTATATCTTTTAAGCAATTATTACAGACTTTATTATCTTTCTTATTATAGTTTCCTTGTTATCATGCATTTTACCACACTAGTATATGTGAAGTCAGGTACCTCATCTACCTTATTTATTACTGCACCTCGGGACCTAGTACAATGCTTGGCACATGGCATGAGAACAATAACAATAAATCTCTGTTGAAGAATTCAGTGACTGGATACCATTAGGCTTCAGGTCCCAGGGTCCTTGATGCACTGGTAACAGATAATGATTGACAGTCTTCCAGCTATGACATTTTAAGATGCCACAGTCTCTGCATCCGTAAAATGTCCATTCATAGTGGACCACTGGGAATTCCATGAGTCACTCAGGGGATCATTACTATCTTAGTGCTTCTGTGGCCATAATAGGCTTTCTTTGGCAGAATGATACTGATTTCTTAAATGTCAGAGCTAGAGGGAAACTTTGAGACAATCAAAACAGTCTTTCCACAGTGAGGAACACATCCTAAACTTTATTGTTCACTTAACAACTGCCCCAAAACACATAAAAAATTAAAGAAAATAGGATTACTTTTGCCTAGAGAGTCAAACCACATTGCATCAGTTAGAATTACTGCCATTCTCATGAGCCAGGAAGAGTACCACAGCATTTAGTCAATAGTTCTGGCTTGGCCTGGACTTTGTGTCAGTAAAAAGAAAAAATCAGGCTGGGTGCGGTGGCTCATGCCTGTAATCTCAGCACTTTAGGAGGCCATGGCAGGTGGATCACCTGAGGTCAGGAGTTTGAGACCACCCTGGCCAACATGCGAAACCCCGTCTCTACTAAAAATACAAAATATTAACTGAGCGTGGTGGCGAGTGCCTGTAATCCCAGCTACCTGGGAGACTGAGGCAGGAGAATGGATTGAACCCGGGAGGTGAAGGTTGCAGTGAGTTGAGATTGCACCATTCCAGTCCAGCCTGGGTGACAGAGAGATACTCTGTCTAAAAAAAAGAATCATACTTTGTAATTTTCACTGTAAGCCCTGGGGTCGGGAGAAAAGCTAGTTTCAAAGAGTTTGTCATACTTTCTGATGTAATACAAAGGGGAATTGAGCTATTGAAGAAAATCTTGCACTCTCCCAAATTAAAATAGAAATAGCTTAATGCTAAGCTTTCAGTGTCCATTAACATGACATATAGGAAAACATCCTTGAAACTGAGGAGTCAAAGTGATTAGAAAGAAGAGATAAAAGACTAAAAGGAAAGAAAGGAAGCCTAATGGTAATGAAAAAGGAAGAAGAAAAAGTTGAAAGTATAAACTACTATGTAAGACTAATTTGAAATAATAAAGTCCAAGGAAGAGAGGGCTAGCCAAGGAAGGAGCGAGGGTCTTCCAGGGCTCTGTCTCTCTCAGCCAAGAAGCTGGCATGTGTCATTGTGTAAATTCCTTTAAGAGATTTACTGAGCTTGTGCCATGTGCCCATATCCTCTCTCCCTTCTGGTCCTCCGTGAAATTAAAAGAGTGGAATAAATGGTCTTGAAGTAATTTCTAGAGTCCTATTTCTTATCACTTTTTGACTCAAAGCCATGGACACATCTACAAATAGAATTGAGAGTATATTCTGACATCCTTTCAGTTATGTGCCAATTTCCTCAAAATCACTCAGTGGTTTTCACGGACTGATGGAGCAGAGAGACAGAATGAGATAACAAGCAGTCAAATTAAAGGATATTTCCCTCTGCTTAGATAATTATCCTGGCATTATGCAGTTCCTGGTGACACCCAAACACCATTCACTTCCTTTTTTCCCCAGAGCCTAAAATCCAAAACATTGAATGAAAATAAAGAATAAAAGTCCTTACATTTGTATATGTGCTTTTTGAAGCTTATAAAATGCCTACGCATACTTTATTTCACTTAAGTTTCATAACAAACCTGAGAGGTGTTATTCTTCTCAAATTACCAACAAGGAAACTAACACTGAGAGACTAAGTGCTTTACCCAAGGTCGCCTGGTGTGCCATGCAGCTGCCACTTGCTCTTGGCTCCCTTCCTCATGATTCTCCAGCTCTGCTCAGCATCCCACAGCCCTGCACACTACAAGATCCCTACCCTGTTGCTTCAAGGCAGGCTTGGCTAATGGGAGTCAATGATAAAAGACTGAAGGAGAGGAGGGGACAAGATGGGTGTTACTTCTCTTCTCTCTCTGCTTCTGATAGCCATCTCCAGCAACGGCTTCATGTGCTCAGTGCTCAGTGCCTCACGTGCTCCAGACAAATGTCCTGCTTCCCAAATCTGGCTACACTACCTGCTCCTGTGTTCCTCCAGGCTCAGGAACAGTAGCATCTTCCTGCTGTTGCTAATATCTGTGGTGCTTTCCCATCTCATTTGGCTTCTCAGCTTCTTCATTATCTGCGCATCCAATTCCTTATATTCCTTATTTTGAAAGACTTAGAGTGGTTTTCCTGGTTGGACTCAAACTGAGTCACCTGGCTAGGAACTCACTACTCTGAGAAGCCCCTAAGAAAGCATATCAGATGTGTGTGTGTGTGTGTGTGTGTGTGTGTGTGGATGTATGTGCATGTTACCACTAAACAGTGAGAGCCTTTTCATCTGGAACTGAGCTTATATATCTTCGGATCTAGCACAGTGCCTGGCATAAACTAAACACCAGCAAATGTTTGCAAACTTAATATGTTTGTTTGGTAAAACAAACCTAGCCAGAGTGGCTGTTTAGTTTATCTCTATATCTCTTAGTCTCTATTAGACCTAGACAGAAGAGATATAGGTCCTTCTAGTCTATAAAATGTACCAGTGAGCCATTCTGCCACATACAAATGAGCCACACAGAAAAACTGCATCATTCTAGCTTCAAACCATAGTAGTTATTTTAGATGGGAAGATATTAATTAGCTGAAACTTAGGAAAAAGTGCAATTGCCTTAAAAAAAAAAAAAGAAAGAAAGTGAGTAAAAACTGGGTAAAAGACATAGGAAATGTGGGGCGTGGTGGCTCACACCTGTAATCCCAGCAATTTGCGAGGCCGAGGCAGGCAGATCACAAGGTCAGAAGTTCAAGACCAGCCTGCCCAATATGGTGAAACCCTGTCTCTACTAAAAATACAAAAAAATTATCTGGGTGTGGTGGCGCATGCCTGTAATCCCAGCTACTTGGGAGGTTGAGGCAGGAGAATTGCTCAAAGGCAGGAAGCAGAGGTTGCAGTGAGCTGAGATCGCGCCACTGCACTCCAGTCTGGGCAACAGAGTGAGACTCCATTTCAAAAAAAAAAAAAAAAAAAAAGGGAAAACATGGAAAGAGCATTCTTTTAAATTATTTTAGTTTTCATACATTATGCAGGAATTGTTTAACAGAGTTGGATGGTACTAGGCGTGGGAGACCGGGTTGCTGGCCTCAGTTTGGCTACTAACTTGCTTTGTAGTCTTGGGCAAGTCATTCTTCTCTGGTCCTCAGTTTCTTCACTGACAAAATGAGGAGGTAAGATTAAATAATCTCTCACTGCAAGTTCATTAGCTCACCAGCATTTAGAGAATCAAGCCCGATTTTATATTCACATCAAATGAGACCTCACTTATTCTGATCCCAACTTGTCTTTCCATCCTCATTTTACTGGCCAGCTCACCTCACTCACTAGCCCTCTATGCCACCTGCTCAGCCAGATGCTTATGAACCTGGACCTATGCCACCTGTTTTCTCTATATCTCTTCTCTGTTCTTTTTACCCCACTTGGTGTCTCTGCTTAATTTCTCTCCTCTCTGCAGTGGTCTCAGATCCTCTCTGTTGAGAAAAAAAAAAAAAAAAAAAAGACTCCTTGTTACTGAGGGGAAGTATGGGGTTCTGTTTAAAAGAGTGAACTTTGAAGCCAGAATAATGGGTTTAAGCCCTGGAGCAGCAATCTATTGGCTTGTGAATGGAATCGTTACTTACTGGCCATGCCTCAGTTTCTTTATCTGTGAAGTGTTGATATTAAATTACCTACCTTAAATTTCTTATGTTGAAAGACCTAGAATGATTCCCATTTTCCTAATTGGAAGCTGACTAAATTACCTGGCTGAGGAATAAATAGTATTAGAGCCATAAACCTGGCAGAAATGGGCAGAGACAGTGTACCACTGGCGTGTGTGTGTTTGAGTGTGTGTGCATGTGAATTTTCCTATTAAGCAGTGAGAGTCTTCCCACTGTGATATAAGCTTATATATTTTTGGCTCTTTAGACTTTAGCACAGTGATTGACATTGCAGGCAGTAGCAATATTTGTGAACATTTAATACTGGCAAGGATTATCTGAGGCAATATATTCTAGGCCTGGAACAATAAATGGTACATGGCGATGCCCAGTGATGCAGCTATTATAATTATGGCATAAAGTTGGTAGAGAGGAAGACTAATGGATGATGAGGAAGAGGAAGTGGGTTCTCGCCTTAGCCCTGCCACAAGCTAGTGGTGACCTGGCACATAGATGGAGCCATTATATGTGTCTCACCAGGCTTTTGTCCTTTCTTATTAAAGCAATTATTGTGCTGTCTTATTATGTATTTGTGTGTATATCCCTTTTTCTAAGCTACAGTGAGCTAGTTAAGGCCAAAAAACTGTTATGGACTGAATTGTATTCCCTCTGAATTCATATGTTAAAGCCTTAACCCCTAGTTTCTCACAATGTGACCATAATTGAAGGTCGGGCCTTTAAAGAGGTGATGAAGACAATGCTGCTAGTGTGGGCCCTAATCCAGTCTCATTTAAGTCTTTATAAGAAGGGGATATTAGGGCATACAGAGAGATACCAAGAGTGTGTGCACACAGAGAGAAAAATCCATACGAAGAGGCAGAAAGAGGGTTGCCACCTGCAAACCAAGGAGAGGGGTCTCAGAGGAAACAACCCTGCAGGCACCTTGATCTTGGACTTCCAGCCTCCAAGACTGTGAGAAAATAAAATTCCATTGTTTAAGCCACCCAGGCTGTGGTATTTTGTTACGGAAGCTCTAGCAAACGAATGCAGGTACTATGTGTTTATTCATCTATTCAACCATTATTTATGGAGCATCTATGATGTGCCAGGTCCCGACTTGTGCAATAGGATACAGAGTGCTGAGAAAACAAAGAAAGGTAAAGAGCTTCTGCTCTCAGGAAGTTTGTAGTCTAGTGGGAGAGACTGACAATCAAAAGATGACACAAGTCAATGTGGTAAGGGCACGGATTGAGGCGTCCCTGTGCTCTGAGAGTACATAAAGCAGCGTATGGGTGGTTTTATCCCCAGCACTGTCACAGCACTGTTCTGACAGACAATACCCTGCAAATGTTGGTTGGCATTTACTGAAGGCTCCGATCTCTCAATTCTCTGTAAGGATTAACATGAATTCTTAGCACTCAAGGTAAGAGAGTCCATGGGTAGACTCTGCTAAGTGTAGACTGTTTATAGGGCAGCATAAAACTGGTTCACAGGAAAGACTGATGGATGAGGAGGAAGAGGAAGTGGGTTCTCACCTTAGCTCTGACACAAGCTGGTGGTGACACCCTTCCCCTGTCTGGAGCTCCATTTCCTCATCTTCAAAAATGAGGAGGTTGAAGTAGGTCATCTCTAAGATCCCCTCTAGCTCCATGAAATCTTTCCCAAAATCTAGTTCATGAAAAACTAATATTGAATGGAAGACAGAAGAGACAGAGAGAAGGAAGGAGAAGGAAGAAAGGTGGAAAAAGGAAAGCTGGCAGGCAAGAGCAGAAAAGGAAGGAGGAAAGAAGGAAGGAAGGAGGGAAGAAAGGGAGGAAGGAAGGAAAGAAGGAAGGAAAGGAGGGAGGAAGGGA